ACGCCTCCACACCTCTTGACAGACGCCCCTGCTCGCTCGCTCGCAACCCAGATGCCCCAACCCACCTCCTGGAACAGCTGCTGCTCCACCATCCGCGTGTGCGTGTGGGTGGTGGTGTGCTGGATCTTGACCACGGAACGCAGCCGCCGAGCAGATGAGCCGCCGGAGAGGCCTTTTGGTGAGGTAGAGAGGAGGCGGCATGGAGGAGGCGACGTCAGGCGCATAGGGAGGAAAAGGTGGGGGCAGGGTAGGGCGTAGGGAGGGTTGGGACGGACGCGGTGTTTGGTTGGGTGGCAGCAACCAAGAGCAGATCCCGGGAAGTACAGAACTGTGCCGCCACTTCCCCAACGCACGCAAAGCAACCGCCCATCCTGCTAGATCACCACCACCGAACCGCCCCCCCCCCGCGCCCTACCTCCGCTTCCAGGGGTGCGCAAGCTGCCATCGTCGCCCTCCTCCGCCTCCACCCCTCCATGCTGCTGCTCTTCCTCCACCTCCTCCTCATACACCTCCGTGGCGGTGGTGGTAGTGGTGGTGGTGGTATACTCCATGTGCGCAGCACTGGCACGGCGACGTCGACGGGTGCCGCCGGCGCCCCTACCAGCAGCGGCGCCAGCAGCAGCGGCGCCACCCGCTCGCGGCGGCTGCCAGCCGGCTCCACCGGGGGAGACCGGGGCGGCTGGCAGCGCTCGCACCTGCGGCGGTGTGGGTATGGACAGGGCAAGCGCTTTGAGCAAAAGCACGCGGGAGCAAGTAGGCAGGGAGCGTGGAGTGCGCACTACCGTAATCTTAATTTGGGCCAACCAAGAGTCGTAACCGACGTGTGCTGCCTAATCCAGAATCACGAAAGGTATTACTGCGCCCCACTCACTTCCTTACCGGTAGCCTCACTACCGCCCGCGCACTCACCCCCAAGCCCGGCGACGTCTGCACCTGCCCATCCATCCTCGCTGCCGCCAGAGCCCCTCTCCGGAAGCCCTGCAGCTCCCCCTGCAGCTGCGCCAGCTGCCGCTCCAGCAGCTGCTGCTGTTGCGCCGCCACCTCCTCGCGCCGCCGCTGCAGCGCAGCTGCCGCGGCCGCCTCCGCCGCCGCCGTCTCGGTGGCCGCCAGCAGCTGCTGCAGCAACGTGCCGTGCTGCTTGAGCAGAGAGGAGACCTCTGGCAGACATGCTGACATCTGCGTGGAAAAGAAAGAGGGAGGCACCCGGCACCGGAAGGTGGGTTAGAGCTACGTTTGCATGCAGTAAGGGCAGTGATGCGGAGACCTGCGGAAGGATACGACTGCCTGCCAAGGCTCCAAGCCCAACCCAGATCATGGCCAGATGTCCAGGTCCCAACCTCAACCTCAACCCAACCTTAGCGCACCTGCTGGCACACGCCCACCGCCTCTTCCACCTTTGCCGTACGACCTGCCACCTGCGCCAGCGTGTCAAATAGCTGCGTGCAGCGCCCCTCCAGACCTTCCAACTGCGACCGAAGCGGCGCCGTCAGGGCATCTACTGCTTGGATCTGCTGCTGCTGCCGCTCCTGTCGCGGTTGCTGCTGCTGGTCTCGTCCCTGCGCCCCCTGCTCCTCCTCCTCCTCTCGGTCGCACTGTTGCTGGGGTTGCTGGCGCTGCTGCCGTTGGTGTCGCGCTCGGTTTTGTCGCTGTTCATGTGGGGGTGGGTCAACGTCTTGATCTGGGTTAGTGCCATCTGGGTGGGAACCATCTGGGTCGGCTTGCTCCCGGCGGCGTTCATCGCGATTTGGGTCGGAGCTTTTGTGGCCCAGCGGAGGCTGTTGCCGCTGCTGCTGCGGCTCTTGCTCCTGCTGATTCGGCAGCCGCCTGAGCGGGAGCTGCTGCTGTGTTTGTTGCAGCTGCGGTTGCGGTGCCGGAGCAGGCGGTTGGTGGAGCAGCTGCGACGCCCCAAGGGTATCAGCGGTATAGGTTGCTGGTGTGGGTTGCTGCACTTCCTGAGTCTGGGTCTGAGTCATATTGACAGTTGTAGTCGGTTGATGGTGTTGATGAAGGTGCTGCTGCTGCGGCGGCGGCGGCGGCTGCTGACGTTGGAGGTGCGGTGGATCGTGCGGCGGGGGCGGCATGGAGCCAGCAGGGGCGCTGCCGCCGCTCTCTTGCGGAGTCATCATAACCGGATTGCCTTGGTGGTGGTGCTGGTGATGATGTAGCGCAGGCTGCTGATAGGCATCTGGGTTATCGTACGGCATCCACGCCTGCGACTGTGATTGCGGCAGTGACTGAGGCTGCGGCGGTTGGGGACGTTGGCCGGTGCCGCCAGGGCCCGACTGGCCCATGCGAACGGGCTCTGCCGCCGCCGCGGCGGCTGCAACCCTGTTGGCAGCGGCGGCCGAGGCCGCGGCGGCCGCAGCAGCCTGCTTACGCAGCTGGATCTCGTGCGACAAGCCGCTTCCTCCGCCGCTAGCGCCGCCGCCACCGCCGCCAAGCACATTTGGGTCGGGCAGCAGGAGCGGTTCCGGCTGCTGTCGGGATGACGGCGGCATGTCGTAATAATGCTGCTCTTGCTGCCGTTGGCTAAACTGGATGTGGGTCGCCATGTTTTGATGGTTTTGGAGCTGCTGCTGCTGTGTAAGGGAGTTTGCTGATCTGGGTCGGAAGCCACCGCCGTCGCAAACGTTCCCAGCAGCGGCAGCAGCAGTGCCACCGCGTGCGGCGCCTGCTGGGTGCGGGAACTCGCTGGCGGATGCGGAAGCAGGACGCGACTGCAGCGCATGCCCGCCTCCGCCTCCTAAAAGACCCGGGCCTGCGGATCCTTGGCTGGCCGTGACACTGCCGTACAAAACGTCGTACTCTGAATTCTTCTGGGACATGAAGATTGAGCCGTTACTGAAGTGGGCGCTTGCCATTGCCGTTGTCGCCGCAACAGTTGCCCGTCCGTTACCGCCAACCCCATTACCGTACAATGTATGGCCTACATCGGCGACGCCGCCGTTGCTAGCGCTGCCGCCGAGCACTGGCCGCATGGACAAAGGTGCAAAGCTCGGTCGGTTGCCAGCCGGCTGCGTTGGTGCGGTTGTTGGGCGTGTTAAGGCGGAAGCAGCACCGATACTGTGACCCAGGGGTCGGCCTCCTGCGGAAAGGGGCCGCTGCTGCGCGAGACCGCTGGTACCGCTGACGCTGGCGAAGCCGGCAACGCCATGAGCTTGCGCTTGCAGGGTTGTACGTTGGTGGTGTACATGTTGGTGATGTTGTTGTTGTGAAAGCGCTGCGTTGCTGCCCTGTGAAGCTGCTGAGAGGGGTCGCGAAAAGAGGTTTGCAGGAGGTGGAGCCATCGCCTGCTTTTGCTGAGAGCCATGCTGCTGCTGCTGGTTTAGGATTTGTGAGAAAGGTCGAAACGGAGCAGCGCGTGGAGATGAGCGTTGGCTCATAGAGAAGTTTTGAGTTCCACCGTTCGCGATGCCAGTCCTTGGTGGCCCCAGCAAGTCCAACTGCTGCTGGCTAAACATATCCACATGGAATAGCTAAACAAATCGCCCGTATAATACTTGCGCTGTCTACAGTATCGGGGTCATAGGGTATGTTGCAGCGATCAGAATTTGGCCTTGTTACAGCTGAAAATCACAGGGTGGAAACAGAGAAACAGTCCTGGTAAAATTAGAGGGTAAAGGCGGTCACTGTAAGTACGGTCGCCGCTCGCGGGGGCATTTGTACGGCTCCCGCCAGATTACAGGAATTGCCTCCGCATGGCTGTCGGCCACGGAGCTGGCGCAATCAGACGCGTGGACAGGCTCTGTATGAACCGCACAAGCTGCACCGTGATCTCTGGTATGATGATTATAATTATAGCAGCCAGGTACCCGACCCGCTAGGTACTTAGCTCCTAGTGTCGCGTCTTATCGAGCGATGCACCATGTCCCGCAACGCCGCAAGGCCACAACTGCCAAGCCCTGCATCAACTACCTTGTCTAGGTTGGACAGCGAACAAGTGGCCACTGACGCACCCCTCCTCTGCCTAAGGCGTTCGCATTATGCTGCGAGGCGTTGATACGCCGAGCGTAGCGAGGCGTATAGCCTCGTATAGGAAACTTGACTTGGGCAGCACCAAACGGTCATGGTATAACTGAGGGGTGCATCAATTAGGAACCACGACAGTTTGCTGCCGCCCGAAGTGCAGTCGCACATCCTACATTAATGCCTCCGTCTGTGGCCCATTGTAGGGCAGCATGCATGAATTGTTGCAGGAAAAGGCATTCAGGTCCTGCTGGCCCTAGCACTGCATAGAGGTTGCATACTTTGCCGAACGCGTGCTTCGGGGAAACATTATACATGCACTACGTTGGGAATGCGAGACGGCTGGGAAAGGGTTGTGAAAGCGAGACGCCAGTCAACAAGGCTGGGGATGGCTGCTTCAAGACGTTCTGTAACCATTGAATCCATTGAAGGTGGTGTTGAGAAACACCGGATTGATAGAATGCGCACAAGCATTAGGTTAAGCAACGCACAAGCTCGGCAGGGCTTAACCGCCGAAGCCGTAGAGAGTGCGGCCCTGGCGCTTGAGGGCGTAGACGACATCCATTGCCGTCACGGTCTTACGACGGGCGTGCTCCGTGTAGGTGACAGAGTCACGAATGACGTTTTCAAGGAAGGTCTTAAGAACAGTGCGAGTCTCCTCATAGATGAGGCCGCTAATACGCTTGACACCGCCGCGACGAGCCAGACGACGAATAGCGGGCTTGGTAATGCCCTGAATGTTGTCGCGAAGAACCTTGCGGTGACGCTTGGCACCACCCTTGCCCAGACCCTTGCCGCCCTTGCCACGACCTGACATGTTTAATAATAATATGTATGGAGAAGTGTATGGGTGTTATTTAATCAAAGCTTTATAGTTAGGCTGGGTGGTTTATATACTCCATTAAGGATCGATTGGTAGGGCTCGCCGGGCTGGTGTCACCGGGGCCAACCGTGTCGTACATGCCTAGCAACAGACTGCGACCATTGGCGCAATAAATGGGGCATCAACGCCGATAAAGTCAACAACCTTCATAGTCTTCTACCACCTTTCGTTGTCAAACAAAACATACCATAAGCTAAAATGGCCCGCACCAAGCAGACGGCTCGCAAGTCCACCGGTGGCAAGGCGCCCCGCAAGCAGCTGGCTACCAAGGCCGCTCGCAAGACCCCCGCTACTGGCGGTGTCAAGAAGCCCCATCGGTGAGAATTATCTATTGATTGTATTATTTTCACTCTGCCTGTTCCGCTGGCACTTGCCTCACAACCCGCAACTTGCACTCTGACCACCCCTTTCACCCACTCTTCCCTCAATTAGGTATCGGCCAGGCACTGTGGCGCTGCGTGAGATCCGCAAGTACCAGAAGAGCACTGAGCTGCTCATCCGTAAGCTCCCCTTCCAGCGCCTGGTGCGTGAGATTGCCCAGGACTTCAAGACCGACCTGCGCTTCCAGAGCCAGGCCGTGCTGGCCCTTCAGGAGGCCGCTGAGGCCTACCTGGTCGGCCTGTTCGAGGACACCAACCTGTGCGCCATCCACGCCAAGCGTGTCACCATCATGCCCAAGGATATCCAGCTGGCCCGCCGCATCCGTGGCGAGCGCGCTTAACTGCACAAGCTAGCAGCTCCCTCTGCCGATCGTCGGCTAAACCAAAACACGGTGTTTTTAAACACCACCAAAGCTGGAAGCATACCTGATATCTTAATGAATTTGTGGTTGTTTGTAGCTCAACATTACGGGAGGTATTCGTTGACCTGTCCTGACCTGTCTATTTCGCACCAAAAGTGGATTCAGTCGTTGGGTGCGACTTTCCTCCTTCTAGACCCCACTTTTGCTCTTAATAATTGTAACATATTGTGCACTTCGTATTAGAATGTCCATAGAAGAATTCGCCAAAGTTGGCGTTGGCAATGTCAGCAGGCTATCGCCTTGCTCGGTTCAATGGACTTGCTTTTGCCTATAATTGGTAAACAACTTTCTACCGTTGCTTGTATACTGGTCTGGATGGTAGCGTAGTGATGGTAAATCAGTGTCAATGCCACCTCCTAGTTCTGTCGGGCACCTGGCCTTGGCTAGGTTCTATGTTCCTTCGGGCCTACCCTTCAATGCACATTTTCTTAAGACGGAATCTCGCCAAAAGGCAACGGAGGTTACCAGCAGCTGGAGCGGATGGGCAACGAGCATGCATGCCACAGGTCTAGGCTGCGTGGCGTTGGAAGCGCGCTTCCTCAAGTGTTTCAGGTGTGCATTCGGATATAGAGGGCATTTCTGTGCCCCCAAGATGCGGGCACTCCCCCGCCCACCGGCCACATGCTCGGCCAGGGCTGACTGCTGCGGCCCCAACATGGCTGGCGCCATAGGTTCCCAGGGGGCCTTAATCGACTGTTACGTTGTGCCCGGAACGTATGTGCCCACAAGTTGCCCCACACTTTTCTGGAGGTTGCATCCACAACGTCCACATGCGTTCTGGTTGCACTGGGGCGCATGCACACGTACCACCGGGCGCATGCACACGTACCACCAATCCTGCACACATGTAGTACATGACGGAGCAGCATAGAAGACAAGCGGCGCCCAAGGCCCACGTACACTGTCGAAACACCTAAAGATTGTGATCACGACAGCCCCCGGGAAGACAAACTAAGAGCACACGCAGACGTTCGCCACCAACACCTCGTGCAATGTGTCAGGTATGGGACGTACAGTACACTGTAGGAACATCTAGAGAGGTCACCCACAACTTTCCTTTTGCATACCGGTACACATGCTTCACAAACACACGATGCGGCTACCCCTGCTGATACCTTCCCCTGCCTGCCGTTATATACCTTCCCCCGTCTCCAACGCCATCAGCAGCCCTGACGGCGCCGGTACCCCTGCGATGTACATTTCACGACACGGAGCGCGATCGCCTTGGCGATCGTACGACCCATGGGTCGGGAGCTGCATTTTGGGCGGCATACAGCCTTGGATAGCAAGATAATAGTTGAGTATTCCTAGAAATGCAGCACCTACGGGATCTGACTTCTGGTGTTAGTTTGCTTAGTGACGTCAGCCGCTATCAAGAGGATTCATGCCGCATGCCTGAACCCTTCACCGTCTTACATCCAGGAAATCAACCTTTCAAGTGATATAGCGGCTCCCCCTTCGATCTACTGTACAAGCTTACGCTCACTTTGCAACAATGGATACATGCTAAGGGTGCAACGTTGAAACCAAGTAGCCTCCCACCACGCCTGAGAGATTGTCAAAGCACATCAGATTCCTTACAATAGGGCGGTAGGTCAGATAGCAAAATGGTCCGGAGAATGCGGACAGCTCACACGGCTCTTCAGCAAGAGCCTCAGCGAAAGCGCTCAGCCAGACAGTTCCAATAATGACTCACAGCCCCCACCAGCAAAGAAGCAGGTGACTGGTGCAGCCGCGACCCGCGCAGCAGCAGCCGCAGCAGCGTCCCAGCCCGGCACTTCCGCTGCAACAACGTTAGCAGCTAAGGCGGCAGGAGCAGGTCCTTCTTCGCGCCCGGATCGAGCGCTACGCAGCAAAGGCCCGGCTCCTCCTCCTTCACCGCTTCCCTCAAGGTCTCCAGCAGCTGCAAAAGAGCCTGCCAACAGCGATCATCGGCAACAACAAAAGCAACAAGAGAAGCAGCAGCAGCAGCCTCACGCTCTGCGCAGCCTTCCGAGCAGGGCCGCTCACAATGGCCTTGCTCCAGCTGCGGCATCTGGACCTTCTGGGTCCGCAGCCGCAGCAGCAGCTGCTGGTGCGCCTCCAAAAGCAGCGCAGAAATGTAAAAGAGCCGAAGACCAGGCGCCACAAAATGCGCCGGGCAGCAAAAGCGCGCGCGGAGGCGAGCACCTTTAGGCGGCTACGGAGCAGCCAACAGCAGTAACACGAACAGCCACAACAACAGCAAGCGAGCGGAGGAGGAGATGAGCTAATCGGTTTGGAGCTTGCGGAACTGTACGGCGCAAAATCGTACGACAAGCAAAACGGGAAGGCTTTCGTCAAGGTGAAGCCAGCGTTCATTGTGCATGGGTGATAAGTAACGTTGTGAGTATTCGACCGTGTAGCACCGACGTATGTCTGCAATGTCCCTGGCGACTTCCTAACCCCGAAACCCGCACACCCACTCCTCCCCGCCCGGCCCCCTTAGAAGTTGTAACCTCACGCATCCTCCTTCTCCCCGTTTTCCCACAAGGCGCGCGATCCCTCGCGCCCCGGGCACTTGCTCATCGCCACGGCGGCTGACCGGCGGCGCAGCTACTGCCAGCCGGAGGAGGCCGTACGGCGCTGGCTGCTGCCGGGGCAGCTGAAACCGGAGGGGGAGGAGGAGGAGGAGAGCGGGGAGGAGGAGGAGGAAGAGAGCGGGGAGGATAGCGGGGAGCCAGGAGGAGGAGGCGGATGAGGAGGAGGGCGAGGAAAGTAAGGAAGAGGAGGGAGGAGGTGCAGCATCGTCGTCACAGGAGGAGGAGGAGGAGGAGGAGGAGGAGGAGGAGGAGGAGGAGGAGGAGGAGGAGGACGAGGACGAGGAGGAGGAAGAGGACGAGGAAGAGGAAGAGGAAGAGGAAGAGGAAGAGGAGCAGCAGCAGCAGCAGCCGAAGGAGGCTGCGGACGGTAGGCACGCTCCACCCGTTGCGCCCAGGCAGCCCAACCCAACAAGTCAGGCAGGGCGTCCGGCGCCGCCGCGGCGGCCGCTCTGTCCCGCCGCGCCCACGCCCCCACGGCAGCGGCGGGGGCCCCTCAGCAGCAGCAGCAGCAGCCCCGCACGGGCCCAGCTAGGGTCACACGGCGCACGGCAGCAGCAGCAGCAGCAGCAGCTGACGGCGCCGGCCCCTCCTCCGCCGCTCCAAGCGGCACTCGTCACGCCCGTGACGGTGGCGGCGGTGACGGCGGCGGCGGCGGCAGTGGCGACCGCCGGGGCGCTCCTACTGCGGCGGCAGCGCATCACAGCACTCCTGCTTGCGGCGCTGGGCCCTCCACCGCACCTGCCGCCGGCCCCCTGGCTGACGCCATCGCCGCTGCCAAGTCCATAAAGCTGGTTCGCGGCCGCACCCGGCGGGAGGATGTGGAGGAGTTGATTGGGGAGGTTGGTGCGGGGAGGGAGGCTGGGCGCGGGCTTTGCGGGGGTTTGTTTCTGTCAGGGCGTTGGGATGGGCAGCTGGGTAGCGTGCTAAGAGGATGGACAGTTGAGGGTCGGCTTGGGAGTGTCGAGCGGTGTTATCCATACGTTCCGTAGCCCCTAGCCGTTCGAACGCAACTACCAGCGCGTGCCTGGTTTGGCATTTAAAACTCGGTGGTTGGCAACCACTCGGCTCCACCGACATTCCTGTCTTCACTTGTTTGTCGACGAAGTCTGGCTTCCTGACTTGCTCCTTCCTTACCCGCCGCTGCCACCGCTATGCCATACAACTCTCCCTCTTGATGTGCGCAAAAACCTGCTGTACAGGCTGTGAATGTCCTTGGCTGGGTTTTCGACGACCCCTCAACCACCTTCCGGGGCGAAGTCACTGCACCGGATGAGACCCATAAGAACTGCGTCGTCATGGATTTCGAGGGGGACGAGCAAAAGTGAGTCAGGGAGCTGCATTCAGTTGCCCTTCAGTTGCATTTCGGTTGTAGTATTGGAACCCAGCTTCGCGTCTCTACCAACAGATTTCGTACAACTGAGCAAAGCCGTTTAAATTAGGCCAAATCGCATCCGGCTCATCCAACGCCCTGGCTGCCTCAGGTACCGGTACTTCTTTCCGGTGGAGCAAGTGCGGCTGTGGCTGGCGGACACACAGCCCCGGCCCGCCGCCGCCGCCACCGATGACGCCGCGGAGGCCAGCGGCGGAGGCGGTACCTGCTGCAGCAAGCAACCCAGCAACCGCGGCAGCAGCCGCCGCACCGAGCCAGCCGAGCGCGTCGAGGTGCCGACACCGCAGCCGATGCTGCAGCACCAGCCAACGGCGCATCGCCAGCGGCAGGAGGGGCAGCGGCCCGGGGGCACACGGAGGGCGGCGCGGCGTCGGCGGCGGTGGCAGCGGGACCCAGCAGCCGTCCACGTAGGGGCCAGGCCCCTGCTGCGGAAGCTGCCGTACCCACGGGAGCTGCTGCAGCGCCGGAACCTGCAGCGGCGGCGGCGGCGGCGGCAGCCCCCGCAGCTCCCGCGGCGGTTCTGCTGCTGAAGGGCAGCATGTCGAGGGTGGAGGAGCAGCAGCGGCCGACACCGCCGCCGCAGCGACCGAGGGCACGGCGGCTGGGCGGCGGAGCAGCCGAACCCGCGGCAAGGACAGGGAGGCTGCGGCTGCGGCGCCGACGGCGCTGGTTCAGACCCGGGAGCTTCAGGCCGCAGGTGACGGCACGACGGCTGCGGCCGCCGGCGGCAGTCGGTACAGCACCCGAGCGCGGAAGAGCCAGCAGAAAGGCGCGGCGCCGACGGCGGCGGCGCCGCAGCCCCCGCCGACGGGACCAAGTGGAGCGGCACCGGTAAAGGGTACGACAGGCCCGTCGGCGGCGGCCGCAGAGGGTGGTGTACGACAGCAGCAGCAGCGGCGTCGCGGCCGTGGAGCCGCGGAGGTAACGAATGCGGCGGAGGTGCTGGCATCGCTGCCGTCAGGGGGCGCGGGAGGCGCGGGTAGCGCTGAAGGCGGCGTCACAGGTGACGGCGCTCCTGCTGTCACGGGCGTGGATGCAGGCCCCTCGGCGCCGCCGCAGGCGGTGACCGGTACGGCACCGGAGGCAGCGGCGCCGCCGGCAGCTGCATCCGTCCCAGGTACGGCACTGGGGCTACAGTCTTCAGCAGCGGCTGCTGGCGCTGCTGGCGGCGGCGGTGGCGGCGACGGCGGCGCGGTCGAGGCCCCAACGGCAGCGCCTCCGCCTCCGCCACCTGTCGGTCTGCAAATCATGGCAACGCTGGCGGAAGTGACAGCGCATGCGGAGGCAGACGTGGACGCAGGCGGCGGCGGCGCTGGGCCAAGCCAAGTGGGCGGCGGCCATGCGATTGATCCGCTGAAGGCGTTAGCGCAGGTGGGACGTAGCGGCCAGCACATTCGACCGCATGTGCCTAAACCGGATGAGGACGACGACGATGAGGAGGACGAGGATTACGAAGTGTCTGTTTCAGAGGACGAGGAGGAGTCGGAGAGCGAGAGCGAGCTGTATAGCGAGAGTGGCACTGACGGCCCCGATGATGATGACGCCGCGACAGCGGCGCCGCTGCTTCAGCTGATGGACGCCAAGTTGGCGGCGGCGGAGGCCAGGCAAATGGCGACGGCGCAGCCCGATGCCGTACTGGCTGCCGCCGCCGCCGCTGCCGCCTTGCCGCCGGCCGGTGAGGCAGGCCCCAGCGGTGCTGCTGTAGGGGCTGCTGCTGGCGCTGACGTCGATGCGGCCGGTGGCAGCGACGAGGTGGCAGAGGACGCGGTCCTGATGGCGACGGGTGCCGCCGCTGCACTGGCGAAGGCGGAGGCGGCTGTACAGGGGGAAAGGCTTCCTGAGCCGCTGCCGGCGTCGCCGCCGCGAGACGTAGAGGCAGCGGATGCGGTGGCAGGTCGCTCCGCCAGCAGCGGCCAGTACGGCATACAAAGTGCAGGCCGAGTGCGGATCGTCCAGGCGCTGCCGGCAGCGGCAGGGGGGCCGTCAAACCCGCCGGAGGCGGCACCGCCGGCGGGCCTTAACCGTATAGGGCAGCTGGCGGAGGCAGCAGCGGCGGCGCAACCCGATACGAATGCCACGGGCGCTGGCGGTGGCGATGCTGCCGAAACAGATGATGATGACGCCAACTCCGAAAGGACTGAGGCTGGCGACGCTGCGGCGGCTGAGCCCATACTGCAGCTCAAGAACGCCACGGCAGCGGTGGCGGAGGCGGGTTAGTGGGCGGTGGATCAGCCGCAGGCCATCCTGTCGGCAGTGGCGATGGGTGCTGGAGCGCGGCCGTCGGGCAATGATGCCGACAGCGGCGGCGGTGATGGTGGTGGTTCATCGGGCGTTGCTGCTCTGCCTGTTGATGCAGCTGATCCTGCTGACGTGGCGCGCGCCGCCATGCAGCTGTCGGGCGCCACGGCAGCGCTGGCGGAGGCGGAGGATGCCGTACACGGGGAGGCATTGCCGACGCCGTCACCTGCTGGCGGCGGCGGAAGTGGCAGCGGCTCAAAGTCCCGACGCCGTTCGTTGGGTCATACCCGTAGCTCTGGAGACCCCGGTAGGACAGGTGGCGATACAATGGGCAGTGATGCTGCTGATGCACCGGTAGCGATCAGCGGCGCCGCCGCCTCTGGAGGCGGAGAGGGCGGCGGTGGTGAAGGCGGCGCTGCCAACGCTTCGCAGGACGAAGGCGTTTCGCCACCACCAGTGGCGGTGCAAAGTGCCAGCGGGGCGGTTTCTGGCCATGATGAAATGCGGGCTGCAGACAATGGGGAGAATTCCGGCGCAGCGGGAACAGTGGCACCGCCGCCTCATTTGACTGGAGGCGGTGCATCAGAGGCAGCAGTTGCTGCCGCTGAGCTTTGCGCAGCGGCGAGTCGCGCCGCCGCCGCGGCTCCGTACGGCTCTGCTGGCAGCGCACTCGGCTTGGGAGTGGTGGGGTCTGGTGTCCCTGGTGGTGCTGGCGGCGGCGACGACGTGTCGTACGACAGGCGGCTAGACAACGACGCGCCGCCGGACGCGGCAGCTGCGGAGCACGAGGGCCGCGAGATTGCTTCACTGAGTCGTACTCTCAGTGGCCACCAGCCGCCGCCCGTCGTGCTTCCGGTCGATGCCGATGCTGCTGGCGGCAGCACCATTGGCGCCGGCGGCTTCTCGCTGGTGCCACCGCCGCCACTGTCTTCGTCGGTCTTTGACGACCTGCCGCAGGAGGAGGAAGCGCTGCGCTACGGTCGGGGCTCCGCTGATTTGCCTGGTTTGGAGGAAGGGCTGGGGTACGCTGGGGTTTAGGGCCCAGGCTGCCAGGGTTTAGGGTTTCCGGGCTGAAGGTCCTTGGGGTAAGCCATGCCATGAGGGCGGCGCGAGAAGTCCATGCATGCGTTTTAAACTTTTAATGTGGACTGGGCGGCAGGGCACGGATCCGAGGTTGTGTTGAGCACAAGGGGGTTTTCGACATGGGGCCAGGCCTTTGGTGTGTGGCATTATGGATGGCAGGATGGGTGTTGCGGTTGGTCACGCACATGCTTGGAAAGGGTGGTGTGCTTGTGTGGCTGTGTGTGATGGTTTGATAAAAAGGGTTGGTCAGGGCACAAGTGTGCGGACTGGGGTTGTGGCACGGTGTGGACTGGCAGGTTAGCGGTATGGCTTGGTGGCTAGGTCCTCGGCATGCAAGTGCATGCACACTAGCAGGCCACGTAGCGGCAGCCTGTAGGGGCAGAGAAGGGCAGCAGTGCACGCTTGCAACCCTGGCCTGTACAGGACTGTAAACCGGTATATCCTGTGGTTAGAGAATCCAGCGTGCATTTTGCAGCGTCATGGTTACGAGGGCCCTTGGCGTAGTCCTGGATAAGTTATATAAGATTATATAAGTGTTATCCAGGACTACGCCAAGGGCCCTCGTAACCATGACGCTGCAAAATGCACGCTGGATTCTCTAACCACAGGATATACCGGTTTACAGTCCTGTACAGGCCAGGGTTGCAAGCGTGCACTGCTGCCCTTCTCTGCCCCTACAGGCTGCCGCTACGTGGGCTTGTCGTGTGCAAGTCGTGTTCCTAGGACCAACCGATTAACTGTCTTGCGGAAGTTGGTAGGAGAGACACTTGCGATGTTCATTGGTTACTTTACGTATAGCTGTTTATTGGTTATCCGCTTGCTTGCCCGTATCTCGCGATTTGGTCGTTAGTTCGTTGCCTTCCCTGGAGTCGTAGATCTTGGGCCAGCTTGTTTGCTACCGAGAGCGTCTGGTTCGGCGTTCTCGGGGCCTCACAGTGCTACACCGCACGGCAACATTTACAGCCCGTAATCGTTGTTAGCGTCCAACGAAAGCCTACTACACTGACCATGCATAGCGCTATCACCGCTGCGTCGCAATAGCCGGCTTGGCCAGCCCTATCGTGAAGCACCTATTTAGCACACCAGCCTGCAATTTAGTAGCCGTATCAGCGCCGGCAATTGGAGCGTAGGGCCTCAGCCGCCTACCTACTCCGGGCCTCTGCGACAACGCGTCGTACCGCTTACAGAGTTGCCTACAGCCTATAGGGGTTACCGGGCGGCAGTGCCTTTGGCTACCACATCCCGGTGCGGAGTGTCCCTCAGCCACACTTCGCGTCAGCATAAGGCCTCATCCTCAGGCAGCTGACTAATCCCTGGTGCTCCTGCCAGCACCACCCATTCATCAATCCAAGCATAGGATTGTTGTTTGGTAAACCCGCGCCTTTTGGTTCCACCCCATGTCATGGTTTGGCATGTTTCACCGTTGGAGCATCACAAGCAGCCCCAATGGGTGAGGGTGACCGCCAGCCCTCAGGTAGGCTGTCGCTGCAACACCGCCACAGTTCCTGTGTGGTCGTCCGGTCCCTCACCCGTGCTGCACTCAGGCAGGGGTCGCGAGTGAATGAACACCAGTTGCAGGTGCTTTGATGTCGCCAGCATGAATGTATGTACCGGTATGCACTGCGGCAGCTGCATGGATAGCGGCGCCATGCATCCTTCCCCGCACGAGGTTTCGCATGCGTGACAGGTCGAAAGGAAGCCCAAGCAGATCCCAGTGCTGCTGCTGCTCTGTCGTGGGTCCTTGGAGGATGTAACCCGCCAGGGTCGGGCACCCCAGGCGGCCGCTGCACCTCCTGCTGCAATCCAGCCAGCGAGCACATCCGCCTCACTCACTCCAGTCGCTGCTCAAGCCCCGAATACAAGCCAGTGCCCAGTGCTGGCGGCTTGCATGCTTCACGACCACCTTCACAGAAGCAGGCACGCTCCTAAAGCCATTGGGGAACTCGTAGTTCAACGAGTAGTTCGACTGCATGCCGCCAGCTCCGCTCATCACCAGCTGTGACGCCTGCTGCGGCCCGAACAGCGGTGTGCTGCCCGCACTCCCGTTCAGCCACCTCCAACCGGAGACGGGAGGCACGCCAGGCGGATCGTAACGGACTCCATCCTCGCAACGAATGCCGTTACCGGCAGTGGATACGAACCAGCAGGCGGAAGACGAGCCGTCCAGCCGCACAATGTCAATGTAAACATTGTCCCAGTTCATGTCGTAGCCACCGCAGTTCACGCGGCCGGAGCGCTGCAGCATGATGCCCACCCGGCGCTTGGGCCCAACCTGGATGCCCGAATGCAGGAGCGAGGCGACGCTGGAGGAGAACTCCACATAGACAGTGGGAATACAAAAGGTGCCCTGGTCGAGTGACATTGTCACCGCCGCAGGCGCGGAGCGTGTTCCGTCCGCATACATATACACGACCCGGTAGGTTACGGACATGGATCCCATGCCGAAAAACCATATGTCGCCAATGCTGTTTCCGCAGGAGCCCGCCGTAGAGTACTGGGTTCGCATGCAGGTAACCGGAGGTGCATCGACTGCGGAAGAGTAGCATGGTTGGATAGCACAACACGCAGACAGGTTAGTATGGTATCAACCGACGGCGGGGTAAATACGTATATTCATGCTGAGGTACATTCCGGTAATCGGTGCATTACCACTCCCTTCTTACCGTTGGAAAGTTGGTCGCAACTGTAGCCGCCAACATCGTTTGTGCTCGTCCATCCTGGCTTGTAGTTACTCGGCAGAAGGCCGTAGCTGGAAGACGACTTAACGCTGTACTTCATTTGATCGTAGGCGCACAGCTTCCTGTTTCCAAAGCTTGCGTCGAAGTCCTTCTGCCGAGCTGTAGGCGTGGTGCCCCAACTCATTCCCCGCACAATGCCGTACTTATCCTGCAGGTCGCCGGCCTGGGCAATGCTGAGGCTGGCGTCTGCAGTAGCATAATTAGGGTGATGTATGTTTTCAGCAGAAATATCTCATTCAATAGGGCGGGTGAAGAAAGGAGAAGGCAAATGACAGATGCCTGTTAGAAACATTGGTATGCACTATTTTCATTTACCGTGCATAGCGTGCGATGCAAGGCTATAGCTGCCCACTCACGGCACTTACATACGTGGTCATCGTACGTTAAGGTGCGCGCACCCAGTACCCCACTCACTGATCTGGAAGGATTGGTAGACATTGTTGGCCCACGGCCCGCCGCATATCTGGTTGGCATTACCGGTGCAGGGGGTGTTGCATGCGCTGGAGTAGCCGTAACTCACAGCGCTCTGCAAGTCGTTGGTGCCATAGCACTCGCCGCCATTTTCCAGCCCGTAAAACATCAGGCCTGTAGGTACATAGGAATGAAGCAACCACTCCTTAAATAAGAGGGAATACGAGCAGAAGTATTACTGCGTATGGAGTGAACCGGTGACAGAATATAAGCCCTGCTTCCATCCATTTTTGGAACGAAGCAACTGTGAAAAGCTCAGCGCCGTTAACATGCAGCCCATGTGGCGTACATGTGCGATACACAGATGCGTGCGCAAACGATAACCTGGCAGCTCACCTGCATTCTGGGCCAGCAGTTCGCATCTGTCGACGGTCATGTCGGTGGTATACGACAAAATGGTTGTCGACAGTGCCCGAGTTGAGGCATCTCCGAAGCAGCCTAGGTAGGAACCGGAAGGACCTGTGGCGGGAAAGGCGGGAAAGCGTCCAGCGATAAGGAGGGTGGCGGCTGGCGGGCGCATGAACAGACACCAGCAAACACCAGACAGATAGGCTTGTGTTGAGCTGCTGACTTCAACGGGCAAGCACGCATTGCGCCACATGTTAAGTAGGCAACCGCAAGTGCCGCATGCCCAGGCATGCAGGACCTGTACCCCTACGACAGGCTATGCGACCCATGGGTCACAACCAACCATGCTCCTGGTACGTAAGGCGCACCCAACCCTTAACTAAGCTAACAGCATACATGTACACGGCCACACCGCCTGTACAACCATAGCAGCCCTGGACATACAACAGCAGTCCTGGACATACAACAAAGCCGGACCCACTTCCATCATTCGTCCTGAACAAGCTGATTGCCAGGTCGCCCCCGCACTGCTGTCCTCCGCCGTCAGGGCTGCCGGTGCACTCGTTGGTGCAGCCGCTGCTGGCGCCCAGACTCACGGCACGCGTCAGGTCGTTGCCGCCGTAGCAATTCCATTCAAGACCAAAGAACTTGTAGCCTGCATAAGGAAGTAATGGCCAGACTGTTACATACCAGTATGTGTGATGCAGGAGCTGCACGACCAAGAACCACTTAGTTAAGATGCATGCACGCATGCAGCCCGCAGCGGCACTCCCTAGGTTACCTTGTGCCCTAGCAAGTGCCTCGCACTTCTCAATGGTCATGTCCGAGGCCGAGTTAGCCAGCAAGTTTGGCAGGACGCGACTGCTGTTGCTGTCCTTGAAGCAACCGAGGTAGGAATAGCTCCCGGCAAAGCCTGATGGACAGATGGGCAGTACACATCAAAGCGCGTCCCTCATGAACAACTTACGGATGACAGTGACGCTGAACCTGGCAAAGCCTACATGTACAAATAAAGCAGCGTGCATCACCGAGACTCACCAAAGACCGGTGGACACGTTGACTTGGCAGCCGACGGCCAACCTGTGTGCCCAACATCGGAGTAACAACCCTTCGAAGACAAGATGACCCCTCGACAGCCAAACGAGTCCGTGCACGTTAGATCCGTGTAGCCGTCACCGTCACAATCCGTTCTGTTTAAAGTGGCGCCCATACACCACGTGGAGGGTTGGACGCAGTCTGTTGTGCGGGGAAAGGGCAGGGACGGATGTGGGGCTAGACTTTCATTGCAGGTGCCATCATACAGGCTACGATTGGGTAACATACAAACCTGCCGGTGGCGGTGGGGGCGGAGGTGGAGTTGGGGGCCTTGGAGGGGGGCTGGGAGGAGGCGGGCTTGGTGGAGAAGGGCTAGGTGGTAAAGGGCTGGGAGGCCGTGGGCTTGGGGGTGGAGGGCTGGGCGGTGGTGGGCTGGGTGGTGAAGGGCTGGGAGGAGGAGGGCTAGGCGGCTGGGGGCTAGGCGGTAAAGGGCTGGGCGGTAGCGGGCTGGGAGGAGGAGGGCTTGGGGGTGGTGGGCTGGGTGGTGGAGGGCTGGGGGGAGGAGGGCTGGGGGGAGGAGGGCTGGGGGGAGGAGGGCTGGGAGGAGGAGGGCTAGGCGGCTGGGGGCTAGGCGGTAGAGGGCTGGGCGGTAGCGGGCTGGGCGGCTCAGGGCTGGGCGGTAGCGGGCTGGGCGGCTCAGGGCTTGGGGGTAGCGGGCTGGGAGGAGGAGGGCTAGGAGGAGGAGGGCTGGGAGGAGGAGGGCTGGGGGGAGGAGGGCTGGGAGGAGGAGGGCTAGGCGGCTGGGGGCTAGGCGGTAGAGGGCTGGGCGGTAGTGGGCTGGGCGGTAGCGGGCTGGGCGGCTCAGGGCTGGGCGGTAGCGGGCTGGGCGGCTCAGGGCTTGGGGGTAGCGGGCTGGGCGGCTCAGGGCTTGGGGGTAGCGGGCTGGGAGGAGGAGGGCTGGGAGGAGGAGGGCTGGGGGGAGGAGGGCTGGGAGGAGGAGGGCTAGGCGGATGGGGGCTAGGCGGTAGAGGGCTGGGCGGTAGCGGGCTGGGCGGCTCAGGGCTGGGCGGTAGAGGGCTGGGCGGCTCAGGGCTTGGGGGTAGCGGGCTGGGAGGAGGAGGGCTGGGAGGAGGAGGGCTTGGGGGAGGAGGGCTGGGTGGAGGAGGGCTGGGTGGAGGAAGGCTAGGCGGCTGGGGGCTGGGCGGTAGCGGGCTGGGCGGCTCAGGGCTTGGGGGTAGCGGGCTGGGAGGAGGAGGGCTAGGAGGAGGAGGGCTGGGGGGAGGAGGGCTGGGAGGAGGAGGGCTGGGGGGAGGAGGGCTGGGGGGAGGAGGGCTGGGGGGAGGAGGGCTGGGAGGAGGAGGGCTAGGCGGCTGGGGGCTAGGCGGTAGAGGGCTGGGCGGTAGCGGGCTGGGAGGAGGAGGGCTTGGGGGTGGTGGGCTGGGTGGTGGAGGGCTGGGGGGAGGAGGGCTGGGTGGTGGAGGGCTGGGGGGAGGAGGGCTGGGAGGAGGAGGGCTGGGGGGAGGAGGGCTGGGAGGAGGAGGGCTAGGCGGCTGGGGGCTAGGCGGTAGAGGGCTGGGCGGTAGTGGGCTGGGCGGTAGCGGGCTGGGCGGCTCAGGGCTGGGCGGTAGCGGGCTGGGCGGCTCAGGGCTTGGGGGTAGCGGGCTGGGCGGCTCAGGGCTTGGGGGTAGCGGGCTGGGAGGAGGAGGGCTGGGAGGAGGAGGGCTGGGGGGAGGAGGGCTGGGAGGAGGAGGGCTAGGCGGATGGGGGCTAGGCGGTAGAGGGCTGGGCGGTAGCGGGCTGGGCGGCTCAGGGCTGGGCGGTAGAGGTCTGGGCGGCTCAGGGCTTGGGGGTAGCGGGCTGGGAGGAGGAGGGCTGGGAGGAGGAGGGCTTGGGGGAGGAGGGCTGGGTGGAGGAGGGCTGGGTGGAGGAAGGCTAGGCGGCTGGGGGCTGGGCGGTAGCGGGCTGGGCGGCTCAGGGCTTGGGGGTAGCGGGCTGGGAGGAGGAGGGCTAGGAGGAGGAGGGCTGGGGGGAGGAGGGCTGGGAGGAGGAGGGCTGGGGGGAGGAGGGCTGGGGGGAGGAGGGCTGGGGGGAGGAGGGCTGGGAGGAGGAGGGCTAGGCGGCTTGGGGCTAGGCGGTAGAGGGCTGGGCGGTAGCGGGCTGGGCGGCTCAGGGCTGGGCGGTAGCGGGCTGGGCGGCTCAGGGCTTGGGGGTAGCGGGCTGGGAGGAGGAGGGCTAGGAGGAGGAGGGCTGGGAGGAGGAGGGCTGGGGGGAGGAGGGCTGGGAGGAGGAGGGCTAGGCGGCTGGGGGCTAGGCGGTAGCGGGCTGGGCGGTAGCGGGCTGGGCGGCTGGGGGCTGGGCGGTAGCGGGCTGGGCGGCTCAGGGCTTGGGGGTGGTGGGCTGGGTGGTGGAGGGCTCGGAGGAGGAGGGGTGGGAGGAGGAGGGCTGGGAGGAGGAGGGCTGGGGGGAGGAGGGCTGGGAGGAGGAGGGCTGGGCGGCTGGGGGCTAGGCGGTAGAGGGCTGGGCGGTAGCGGGCTGGGCGGCTCAGGGCTTGGGGGTGGTGGGCTGGGAGGTGGAGGGCTAGGAGGAGGAGGGCTGGGGGGAGGAGGGCTGGGAGGAGGAGGGCTGGGAGGAGGAGGGCTGGGAGGAGGAGGGCTGAGAGGAGGAGGGCTGGGAGGAGGAGGGCTGGGAGGAGGAGGGCTGGGAGGAGGAGGGCTGGGTGGTACGGGGCTGGGAGGCAAAGGGCTGGGCGGTGGAGGACTTATCGGTGGCGGTTTGCTCGGTGGCTTGGGCCTTGGCGGTGTCGGACTGGGGGGAGGAGGGTTGGGAGGCGGTGGACTGGGGAATGGCTTGGGGCTTGGCGGTGGAGGGCTAGTCCGTGATGGACTGGATGGGGGAGGCGGCGACTTCTTGCCATTGCCATTGCCGTTACCGCTGTTACCGTTACTGCCGCCGTTACCATTGCCATTAGCACTGCTGCCAATGACATTATTGGTCCCAGCAGCGCCAGCAACAACTGTGGACGCACGTGAAGGAAAGGACGGACTTAGTTTTACCGGCGTGTGGTGACAGGTGCTCTGAGCAGGATAGCTAGCCGCACCGCCTACAGATTGCAGACAGAAGACATAATGCCCAGTGCCATGGTCCAATCCGGACCGCATGGCACGCAACGTCTGGCTGCGTCGCTTGTAAAGCGAAGACATGCAGGCAGGCTTGAGGATTAAACCAATTAATGAAGATCAACTAAGGAGACAAAGCCAGCCCCTATGCAGAAAGAGCTCAAGCAAGGGTTTCTATCTTGGCGAGGCTCGGTTGCTTGAACAGATACGTATGTGTGCAAAGTTGCGACCTGCAGCAGCCACCTGCGGGTATGGGCGATGCGGCCTTGCTGGCTTACCTGCGGGCCAGACGCTTAATCCAGCTGCCAAGCATAGCGCCAGCAGTATGCCGGCGAAGCGTGCGGCGGCCATATTGTATGCCGCCAGGCGTAATTAGGATGTCTGGGCGTGTAACTATGCCAGCACCTTTTTAAGGTTATTAACATCCACTTTTGGCGACCCTTTATATAATGACGGCAAAAAGTGAGATCGTACGGGAGGCGTGCCCGTTCCAGCGCGGGCACATAGTTATACGGATCCCATTACCGGGCATTTAGATGCGCTGGCGTAAGGAGCGATATAGATCAAGAACCATTATCGAGTGCTGTTATCGATGAAACCTTTAAAGGTGCCATGAGGTGAAAGCTACAGACAATACTGTACTCCAATCAGCAAAACAATAAAATCAGGCCCACGTAAAGCCTGAAGCCAATAAGGATTGGCGTTCTGTGATAGGTAGGAGTGCCTCCGGGCCTCGAAAGCTCGACTCGCAGTAAACGCGATATAACTTGGCGGGCCATCCAAATGCCCAACCGTTGGCCGTCTTCGGTCACTTACTCCCTTGCTCTCTTCAGCTCACATCATAACCCTAAACATAATGATGACAAGATGACAGCCACGTTACCTTGCGTGATACGCATAACGGCTTGCTGTCGTCCAAGCCGCAGAACTACATGTCTACCATGCTTGCAGCCCAACTCGCTCAAGGTTATGTTTTCTGAAGTCCTTTGCGCGGCTACTACCTATCCGTTCTAGCCCTGTTCTTAGATCTCTTTTGTCAACGCCTATCGCCTATCGCCGGTTTCCGGTACCGGTAGCCGAGCTTGCGCTATCCGTCGTGGGTAGGTATGGGTATGGGTTGGCTCACGTGGACTGCCTGGTGCACCAGCGTATGGCTAGTTGTAAGATTCAGGCGGTATCATGCAGATGTTTCTTGCACGCATTGTTCAACAGATAAGGAGTGGGTGATCAGGGCAGGGTCGCCGGCATGGTATGAAAGATGCTCGTGGTGTTGTCACCAAAGCCTAGCTTTTGTCCATCCTCCCAGCTTTGGTTCCTTTGATGTAAATCCTGCCCAGAGGTTAGATAACGTACAGCTACCGCTTTAGGTAAAACATCTTCGTCAGACGACTTCGCCCGCCTTTAGGGTGGTCGTAGCCCCCACACTGGCTTCGCTTGAAGTGCAACAACAGACCGGGCCACTATATCTATGTACAGCTTTAGTGTGGTGTAGGAAGCTATTTGCTCGTCAAGCTACAAGAATGCGGGTTCGCCTCAACGATGTTCTTGAAGGCATTGCAACGATAGTTTGCTTATATGCAGTAATGCCTTAGCTACTTTGCAAAGAGCATGTGTTTTAGCCATACGGTTTCGGCCCCTACTTCAAGGGGCTCAAAGCCAAATACTTCAGGGTAACTTGCAAGATGTTTGCAGAGGCCGCATCACGACCAATGATATAGCTATACTGCTTTACGCTAGTCCATAAACCACGATATCTCGGGAATCGCAACGCCTAAGGGTACGGCACGTTATACTTTTCGCCTTGCGGCCTTGGTAGCTTCTAGCCACAGCTACTGCGAATGGGGCCTACTTCGTTTACAGAGTACTATAATTAACAACTATCAGAGCCCTCAACTTATTATGCACCTTCCAGTATCGCCCGAACGTCAACGCACTTCCGGGTTGCTCACTTTGATACCGCAAATACCATGGAAGAACAGCTGAATATTGGGTCTTAAATACGCGACATAGGCTTCAGGAGGTTGGTTTCGGAGGCGCTCAACCAGGCCGGCGCCTGGAATTAAGGGCGGGCAAAAGCCGCCAAACAGCCCGTCGAGGCGGAGGGGCGCAGTAAAACAGCGGCGGGCAGAGGAGATCGCAGCCAAGAATGGCCCCCGGAATGAATGGCTGAAAGGCCGCACTTGAAACGGAAAGCAACACCCTACAAGGGTTGTACGCCACTTTTGCGAGAGGGCTGCCTTCCGAATCCGGTTGCAGTAACGCAGCATACACTTCGGGGCATAGTCTCCAGCCCAACTACATAGTTGCAGCTTAGGTATCCTTGAGTACCTTTACTCCCTGTCCCAACACCATCCCCTTCCATACATGCCGTATACATGTCCACCTCCCATCCACCCCTTCCACCACGGACATTTCCGAAATTTCCTCACGACAGACCTGAAGGGGTGAAGCAAACAAATAGTCCATGAAGACATTCGCATTATGACTGCCGTGGAAAGCCGTGGTTCGGATTGAACCTCTTCCAAGCAAGCCGTATGCCCGTGTAAACACAAAGCAAAAGCCTTCCTGTGGCGTTTCTGTGGGGACTTCACCTTCCGGCGATTACAGTACGTTCCGACTCGCGGCCAGTTTTCTTAACACTCAAAGCAAGCCACGCTGTGTCATACTACTGCCTTGCAACCAATGCCTCTTGGGTTCGACCAACAGCCGCTACCATCCATGACAACCTCCATGCGGTCTTTCCCCTGCCACAAACGTTGAATGGACGTTACGGTACGATAGCGGGTGATGGCAGCATGCAACAAAGATGGGGCCTACTACCTACGGTAGTATGCATGCCGAGGTAAGGTCTGCACACTAACTTCTCCCATAACGCTTTTCATTCAACACAATGAATTCATGCATGCATGTGTCCCCCTCGCAAAACATGTCATTCCTCAAGTAAATCCAGCGTGAACACTCCCAACCGACTGATACCACCCCGATGCATGACACCCACAAAGTCCTCCTCTGCATTCCTCACTACCACCAACCGTCAACGTTCAGTCAAACACCGCGTTACGGGCCATCCCCAGCAGCCGGTCAAAGATGCGGCCGCCGTCATCCCGAATGCCCGAGTGCCGGTACTCGTTGGTGACCCAGAGCTTGAGCCCCTTGATGCTTGCAGCGGTGTCCTGCGGAAGAAGCGGAACAGTCGGGGCCGCGGGGGTGGAGAGCAAGAGGCCAGGAGCCACTACCGTACTAAAAGACACACTCGATGCATGCGCGTTGTGGCATGCCATGCGTCTGCGTCATATACTCCATCTTGCGTCACTTTACCCAATTGCGAGGACCCATGGGACACAAGGCCCCATAAGGCACCTCCAGGACCGCATGCCGCGCACCCAGGTATATCAGTACCGGTATACATACACCCACCCTAAATACCCACCATGGACAAGTCGTAGTCCACGTAGAGGTCGTCCACGTACGACAGCGCTGCAACGGGCACTCGGTTGTTAGCCAGCACGGCGTCGTCGTACAGCGGCCCCCAGTCCGCCTTCTCCGCCATCACCTCCGCAGTCGCCTTGTACGGCCGCAGCGCTGCAACATCGTCGTACATGAACCTGTACGGCAGCAGCAGGTTGCGGTCCATGAGCCTGATGGCTGGTCTGATGGCTTTAGGACCCCGAAGCTTATCGCACCTTACTTCCTTTACTTCTAGGCTGCAACAAACAAGTCTGCAACAAACGCAGGCTCTTGCCTGATTGCACTTAAAATGTTGTTTTCTGCGCCGCGTTGCGCATCCCTGCCTCCCTCCGCGCATCCCCCTACAGTGCCCCACCCTTGCCCCTCACAACACACCCCTCTCCTCATCTCTACCCCTTCCCACTTTCCCGCCCCCCACTCCCACCCATCACACTTCACACACACCTGTACACGCACTCCCCGGTGAACATGACGGGTCGCCCCTCCGCCGCCGCCGCCACAGCATCAAAAGCGCCCGCGAAGGCCACGCTGTCCCTCACTCGGTCCGCGGCCCAGCGCGGCGGCACCCCGGGAGCGGGACCGGGGGCGGCGGGGTTGCCCTCGCCTGCAGCAGCTGCGGCGCCGTGGGGGGGCTGCTGGCAGTAGCACGGCTCGTGCAGCAGCGCGTAGAGCGGGTTGGTGTCCCAGGATTGCCAGGACTCGAAGGCCTGAGGAAGAGGGCGGGCAAGGCGGACACGGGAGAAAGAGAGCAGGAAGCCGATACCGGCGATGTGATGGGTACCGAAGATAAGGCGACAACTTGGCGGCAGGGGGCGGGCGGAGGAAAGAGGCGTCAGCGATGCCGTGAGCGCTAGGAGGGCTGGGCCGTCCTGACCAACACAACCCCACCTCCCCCACAAGCCCGGCTCCTCCCGCCCACCGACCCGCCCCGCCCTCTTCCGCCCACCGTCCCCCCCCGCCCACCTTCCCAAACGCTGGGTTCATGTCCCCCTCCGCATCAAAGAAGCCGTCCAGCAGGAAGTGCAGCCGCTCGAAACCGCCACCCGAACCCAGACCTGCATGGAGGAGGGAGGGGGCATGGATGGATGAGGGGATGAAGATGAGGGGGAGGATGAGGATGAAGATGGGGGGAGGCAGCCTGCAGACGCAGTCCACGACCCTGCTGCCTCCTACCCAGGTCGACACCCAGGTGTACACATGCCTACCCAGCAGCCTTGTCCTCCACCACCCAAACTGCTGCCCCCCGACCTGCAGAACCCCCATCCCCCCCGCTCCCACCCGACAGCCCCAGCGTCTGCAGCAGCCGGGGTGTGAGGTGCGTGCCGCTGGGCAGGTCCACCCGCCCCCCCGGCTGCCCCGCCAGGTAGCGCACGATGCGGCACACCAGCTCCACATCGCCCGGGAAGCTGGGGGCGGACAGGGGGTGGGTGGGCGGGCAGGCAGGCAGGGGTGGGAAGGCAGGTGGGTGGGGGAGTTACGGGAACGACCCGTGGGTCGGGGTCGGTGGGGAAAGTGCCAACGGGGTCTTACATCTTTTGACACTGCCAGCCAGCCAGCACAACCTGCTGCCCCACCTGCCTCCCTCCTGCAGCCGGTCCTGGATAGGCCGCCCCTAGCACTGCCCCCCATGCAATACCCTTCCTACTGCTGCTGCTGCTGCTCCCAAGCAGCACCCCGGCCTCTTCCCCCACACACGCACATGCACGCCTCCGACCGCAGCTCACCGTTCGTAGTACTTTGCATTGGCTGCCAGCACTCGGCGGTGCAGGGCGGTGTAGACCGCCTCCGCGGCGCAGGGGGAGCGGATGGCGGGGGGCAGGCCTCCTGTCAGCAGCGCCTCCATCAGGCCTGCAGGGGGGATGGCGGGGGGGGGGGGAGAGTGAAGGGAGTGAGGACAGGGGGGGAGGGCGGGCGGAGGGAAGAGTGAAGGGAGGGAGTGAGGAAGAAGGCACGGGTGCAAACGATGGCGGCAACGTGAAGGGAAGGGTTAAACAGGAAAGAGGCCGGGACGGGGAGTGGGGGGGGCCTGGCGGCGGGTACCTACCCCGCCCCTCCGTCCCCCTTCCATGCGACCTCCAAGGCCCCCGATAAGGTCCCCCAACCCCCGCATATGCAGCATGGATGCTTGTTGTAGCCAAGTGCTACGACCCACCCCTGCTGCCCCCCTGCTACCCCTCCCTGCAGCCCCCCTGCAGTCCCCCACGCCCGCCCGCACCCTCTGGCGCCTGCGACAGGTAGGTGGTCGCGCAGAAGCCCCCGAACGACTGCCCCAGCACCGCCCACTTGCCGCCGAAGCAGGTGGGCGGCACCAGCAGCCGCCGCACCAGCTCGCAGTCGCGGACGATGCTGTCAGCCCTGCGGAGGGAGGCAGGGGGTGGAGGCGGGGGAAGCGGTGGGGGGGCATGGAGCTGGGCAGGGAATTGCAGCCTACAAGCAGCTTGGAGGGGCAGGGGATGCCCTGTACACGAGGCGTCACTAACCCCGCAGGCGCCCCGCCATGGACATGAAAGGGTGTACCCAGGGTACTTGATCCCTGGGGTTTGCCACCACCTGGCGCCTGCCTGCCGTCATCCCGGGAGCCAGGGGCAGCACACGCGGGGCGGGGCCCCCTAGCATCCCCACTCCCCACCTCCCAGGCCCCAGCAACCCCCCACCAGCCCCCAGGCCCCCCGCCCCACCTGAACAGCGCCAGGTACTCCGCCTGCTGCTGCGGCCCGCCCCGGCGACCCAGGTTGCTGCAGGTGATGGGCGCGGACCTGGCGCAGGGGGGGCAGGAGAGAGGAGAGAAAAAGGGTCAGGGCCGGGGACGGAATTGGGTGGGGGTCGATGGGCAGGTCCCCTTCCCTCTGCTGAGCAAGTCCTCCGGCCCCCTTCCCCTCCGGCTCAGTTAACCTACAGTTGACCCCCCACCTCCGACATGAGACCCGTGTTTCCATGGGGGTAGGTGGCCCCCCTCCCGTCCTCCCCGTCCCTCGCTTGTTTCCTCTTTACCCCCGTCCCTCGCTTCCTCCGTCCCTCCCTCCCCCCACCTGCCCGTCCCCCGCTGGTCCAGCAGCAGCACCCTGTGGCTGCCCACTGCGGACTTGATCCAGGAGGAGGCGTCGCAGGGGCGGGGAGCCTCGAAGCCGGGGCCGCCTGGGGGGCGAGGAGGAGGTGGGGGTGAATGGTGAGGGGTGAGGGAAGAGAAGAATACCCCGTGTTGAATGATGGAAGGGAGGAATAGGGCAAGGTTGGCAATGATAGTAAAAGGAGGGTGCGGGTGTAAGGGGAGTATGGGGGAAAAGGAGATGAGAAGTGGAGCACAGTCCCACGTGGGGTAAGGGATGGCGGAAGCAAGGGCCGGTATGAAGCAGCAGGAGGAGCTGGTGTAGGATAGCATGAGCTAGAGAGAATTCAACGTGTGGGGCTTATGTCAACCCACAGCCTTCTAAAATAGGCAACTTCGCTCTCGGAGTCCAGGCTTGCCGTACATGGGGTGTCTTGCTAAACACAACACATATCGTACCCGGTTTCGTACCTTGGAGATATACGAGGAAAGGGAGGTTTTCGTTGCGAGAGGGCCCCAAAAGCTCCCGTGCGAAAAGGGTGATGGTTTGACCCTTGTACGGTCCTTCTTTACCGCTGTAGTCGAGCGGTACTGTAAACGTGTGCTCCCGTACCACCAAGCCAGGGACGGAGAATGTCCTGCCTTGCTCATGGCCCGACGTCACGCCAGCAACTTCTATCGACGTTCGCTGGCGCTTATGGGCTGGACTTTGGCGTAAGCCGTCCATCTTAGGAACTGGGTTCCGACAAGGCACGGGAGGTGCAAGGGTGGTAGTTGAAATGTGCAATGATCTGACAGGTAGAAAGACGACAGGTGCGTAGCCGCGGCAAATTCGAGCGATGCGTAGACTCCCCGAAAGCATGTGAGTGTTGTGTCGTCGCTAGCTGGGGAACTTGGGAACTAAGTTGTGGGATGGCTAGGACCCTCGTCGAGTCCCCACAGATAAAGGCAACTTGCATACGCAAGTCGCACCGTATGCAAGACGTCTGCAGATCTTTAAGTTAGGGACGTTGTCGCGACGATTGACTGCGGGTTAGCAGATGCAGCGACAGCTTGCGTACGACGACGCAAGTATTACCCATCCAGAGCGGTTGCCCAGCGCTTTGTTTACAAAGTCGCGACCACCATGTCTTCCTCACGCCGATTCCTCTCGCTTCTGCCCAAGCTAGGCCGGGCTGGTGCCCTGCGTGCTAGCGAGCACGCGACAGCGACCGGCTCATTGATTTTCACTCGCGGCTTCGCCGACGATGCTAACCTCAAGAAGACGGTGCTTTATGACTTCCATGTGGCCAATGGAGGTCTGTTCGATCTTGTTTGTGTGATTAGTCGCAGCATAGTTCCAACCTCCGCTGCCATGCACAGGCAAGATGGTGCCCTTCGCCGGCTGGTCGATGCCCATCCAGTATAAGGACAGCATCATGGAGTCGACTGTTAACTGTCGTCAGAATGCATCGCTGTTCGATGTATCCCACATGTGCGGGCTCACGCTAAAGGTGCGCAGGCGTTAGTAGTAGGCTTTTGCGTCATGTTTCGCCTCAAACCAATCAGGAAAGAGTTACTTTATTCAAATGTTTTCACACTTCTATGCTGCTAATTGATAAGTGCCTTAGCAGCGCCGAATTCGGCAGGGCGCACTGCTTTCCGCAGACATCGCGCAAGCGCAAGCACAGCAGATACAATCGATCACAACCCATCCTGGATTACCATATATGCCCATCACGTTTCACCATGCAATTTCAATCACAGTACTCAACTCCACCTCTGCCTGCTTCCATCCACCCCAATCCTCCTACCGCGCGCCCTGCACCAACTCTCCTCCTGCCCTCTCCCTCCTCCCTCCTCCCTCCCTTCCTCTCTCCCCCACCTCAGGGCCGCGACGCCATCCGCTTCCTGGAGGGTCTGGTGGTGGGCGACCTGGCGGGTCTGCGCCCCGGCAGCGGCACCCTCTCCGTCTTCACCAACGAGCGCGGCGGCATCATCGATGACACCATCATCACCAAGGTAGGCGTAGCGGGTGGGGCGGGGTGGGGTGGGGTGGGGTGGGGTGAGGTGGGGTGGGGTGGGGTGGGGTGGGGTGGAGGGATGCTGGTGTGGTGGTGTGATGGGGGAGATGTGATGGGGCCTTTGGGGGGGGGAGATTATAGGCGGAATGTTGGGTTGGGAGCAGGATGGCGCTCGTCCAGCATGGCAAGGGTGTGATGGTGTCACTACCAATGCGGCGGCGACGGCGGTTGCCCTTGGGCTTCTTACCCTCCTTTCCTCCTCTCCTCCCTCACCCCCCTCCTCCCTTCCCTCCTCTCCTCCCTCCTCTCCCTCCTCTCCCCTCCTCCCCCCTCCCTCCCCCCCAGGTCAGCGAGCAGGAGCTGTACGTGGTGGTGAATGCGGGCTGCCGCGACAAGGACCTGGCGCACATCGGACAGCACCTGCAGGCAGCTAAGGTGGGCGGAAAGTTGGGTGTGTGTGTGGAGAAATAAGGAAACTGACGAGCTGGGCGGAGGGGCGGGGCGGGGCGGGGCGGGGCAGGGAGGTAGGAAGGTAGAGAGGTAGGGCGACCTGGTGATTCCCTGGCCCCTCCCTCCCTCCCGGGGCAGCGCCCTGCAGTCCCCCCCACAACCACCACTGCTACCGCTTGTGCAGTAGCCCAGCACGCCACTAAACCCATACCCCTTTCCCTCCCTCCCTCCCCATCTCCCTCCCTCCCCCTTCCCCCCCCCTCCCCCAGTCCCGCGGCCTGGACGTCTCGCTCACCCTGCATGACGACCGCAGCCTGCTGGCGCTGCAGGGCCCCGCGGCGGCCGGCGTGGTGGCGCGGCTGCTGGGCGGTGGCCAGGGGGGGCAGCAGCAGCTGGCGGGGATGTACTTCAGCGAGTTCCGGGAGATGCAGCTGGCGGGGGCGGAGTGCTGGGTGACGCGCACGGGGTAAGGGGGAAAAAAGAAATTCCAAAGTGTGGTATGATAATGATACAAGTTGCTGACAATCCCTGGTGGAATCAACCGTGAGTCGAGCCGAAATGGTGGTTAAAACAATGCGAGCGAAACTTACCGAACTTACCAATTATGGAGCAACCTTACCATAGGGAGGGAAGGGGGAAGGGAGGCTGGGAGGGAGGGGGGAGGCAGGGAGGGAAGGAGGGAGGGAGTGAGGGAGGGGAAACAAGGGGGAAGTCGAACCATGTGAGAAGGCGCCACGATGGAAGGGGTAGGGGATAAAATTATATAAAAGTGAAAGGGGATGGGTGTGATGGATGCAGGCAGGGGGGAGGTTGCCGTCTGACAGGTTAGCTGCCTTCAAGGTACCCTAGCTGCCTCCTGACCTCCCCCCCCCCCTTCTCGGCCTTCCTTCCTCCGCCTTCCCTGCCGCACTGCCTCCTAGTACGCTCTTCGTTTCTCCTAACCACCCCCCTTCCCGCCCCATGCCTCCTCCCCCTCCCCCTCCCCCTCCTCCCCCGCAGCTACACCGGCGAGGACGGCTTCGAGATCAGTGTTCCCTCGCAGCAGGCGCTGCAGCTCACGCAGGCCATCATGGAGAGCCCGGAAGTGCGGCTGACGGGTGGGTGGGGGCGGGGGCCGGCGTGGTTGTGGTTGTGGGGATAGGGGCGGGGGCGGGTGGGAGGGAAGAGAGAGAAACGTGTGCCGGGCAGGGGGCGGGTTGCCGTTGCTCACTGCACACCCACTGCTCTTCCACGTCCACTGCTGCCGTACATCACTGCCACCCCTGTCACCCCTGCCACTGGTTCCTCGCGGCGCATGTCGCCTAATCCCCTGTTGTCCCTATTTACCCCACTACCCCCACTCCCCATTCCCCAACCCCACCAGGTCTTGCCGCCCGCGACGCGCTGCGTCTGGAGGCGGGTTTGTGTCTGTACGGCAACGACCTGAACGAGGACATCAGCCCCGTGGAGGCGGGTCTTGCGTGGACCATCGGCAAGCGGCGGCGGGAGGCGGGCTTCGACTTCCTGGGCGGCCAGGTGGTGAAGCAGCAGCTGGCGGAGGGGGTCAGGTGGGGAGCGGGGTAGGGGGAGGGGGGGAGCGGGAGGGGGAGGGGGGGAGCGGGAGGGGGAGGGGGGTTGGGAACTTAGGGTGGGGTGCGGGTGCGGGTGAGATGGGGTGCGGGTGTTGATGAAAGTACGCTGCTATGAAACACTGGTACGGGATGTGAGGTAGTGTTGGGTATGGGTGTTGGGTGGCCTCCCGCACCCGTCCTGATCTTCCCCGGCCCCTTCCCCTTCCCCTGGCCCCCTCCTCACCTCCCCCCCTCCTCCGCAGCAAGCGGCGTGTGGGTTTCGTGTGCTCCGGCGCCCCCGCCCGCCAGCACAGCGCGGTGCGCACCCCCGATGGGCGCCAGGTGGGCGAGGTAACCAGCGGCGCCTTCAGCCCCTGCCTCAAGAAGAACATCGCCATGGGGTGAGTGGGAGGGGGGAGAGGGGCACGGGGGAAGAGGGAAAGCTGGACAGGGGCGTGGGCAGGGGCGTATGCCGTTGTGTGTGTTAAGAAAACTGGCCGCGAGTAGGAACGTACTGGGATGTCGGAAGATGAAGTGTGTGTATAGGTCGCACGAGGAGCTCAGCGCCTTCCTCCTGCCTTATCCCTCCCTCTCCCTTATCCCCCCCGCCACCCCCCCTCTGCGCCCTCCTCCCTCCTCCCCCCTCCCCCCCTCCCACCGCCCTACACAGCTACGTGGACAAGGAGGTCGCCAAGGCGGGTACCCCGCTCAAGGTGGAGGTGCGCGGGCGGCTGAGCGACGCGGTGGTGACCAAGATGCCATTCGTGCCCACACCCTACTACAAGCGCCCGCAGGAGGCCAAGAAGTGAACGTGAAGGGGGGGGAAGAGGTGTTAAGATGTGGGGAGGAGGTGGATAAGGCAGGGTGAAGGGGAAGGAGGGAGGGAGGGGGGCGTAGGAGCAAAAGAGGAGGAGGATGGAGGGTAGGTGTGGAGGGGATTGGAAGCAGCGAGAGAGAGAGATGCGACCGCGACAGTGCTGTCGTGGTGTGTCTACATGTTTCACGTTTCTCAGGACGGATGGATAGCGCTTCATGGGTCGCTGCAAGCCACACGCCTAGCACGAATAATGAGGGGCCGCCCGCCATCTGGCTGTTGAGGAGGGCAACTCCCGAGGAAAGCAACGCATCCTCTTCCGCTTCGGCTTGCTGACAGCGCCGGGCTGATGGGCTGCGGACGTCCGCAGCACCCGACTGCTTTGTAAAGGAGAGGTGCATGTGTCTGCATGCATTGGGAAGGGCAGGGGGTGGCGTTGCGGGAGGAGGGGGACTAGCGGAGCCTGGTACACGCCTGCTGCTCCCGTGGCTTGCAGCATGTGCCTTGTGAGGGTTGTCATGTTGAGGTCAGGAAAGAGAACGGAACAACAAGCAGCAGCAGGTTGTATGTTTGGGCAGGAGGAGAAGGTGAAGGAGAGGTGTGCCAGTAGCAGTTAATAAGGTAATGAGAGGCGGGGCAGTAGGTCAGACTGGGTGGCAGGGGGTGTGGAGAGGCAGATGGCGGAGAGGGGGGGGGAGGCAAGTGGGGGGGGAGGGAGTACGGGGTTTGCTTGCACCGGTACGGGGAGGGGGAGAAATGCTGATCTGCGTAGATCTGACTTTTGAGGCGGCCGGATCTGCTGCGGGATGTTATCTATGTGCCTTATAACAGGGTAGAAGGAATGAGGGTAGATATCCTCTCCAAAGGGCACGCTGTAAGCGCTAGGCATGGCGAGAGGCATGCTGGAGCCGGGCGGCATGCAGTGCTGAGGGGATCGGAGGGCACGGTGACCCAGCCGAGGGGGTGCGAACCAGTTTGCAGGGTTTCCTGTGGGCAAACAAAATGTTTTGGTTCGTGCACTCGACGCCGCGAAAGGACGCAATGCGTGTTGCTCTTAATTGGTAGCAAGGCGTATCCGGCCTATGCTCTGTGAACGTCACAACCGCCTGTGTGCCGACCAGCTTGCGGCTTCACGCCAAGCCAACTGCAAAACTCAGACAGCCTATATGTAGTATGCACGGCTCTGAGGAGTAAGCCTTTAAAAGTCATCTCCCAATTTCGCCGCGGTGATGTCTCTGCGACATTACCAGTACAGTACTGTACATGGAAAGTTTCTACCCGACCGTTTCATGCCAAGCATGTGTTTCCTACCCCTTTCTCCCAGCAAGAGAACTTGACTGTAGAATACTAATGATGCCACGCTTGCTGCGCCGCGAGCGGGTATTCCGGAGGCTTCAAGTCCTTCCACCCTGACGAGTCTTTCCAGAGGTGCAGTAGCTTAAAGTCCGTATTCTCCATGTGTATCACTGTGATAGCAGCTATTGTGTCCTCCTTTGCGAGAAATGCACTACTTCCTCTCCGTACGACATCGGCAGCCATTCGCTTTTAAGCCGAAGGTGCGACATCCGATGGGCTTTCCGATAACGTGTTGGAAAGCCCCTATGGACATTGAAATCTACAACCGTTGTCCATTAATTATGCATTACTGCGAGGCAGGCAGGGACACATTTTCAGCAGTAGATAGATGTCGCCGGCTGCCTGCAAATGTCCAAGTGAATTGTTCTAGGTACGTCATCTATACGCTTTTGGTGGCCTAGTGCGTCCTGGTAAAACTTCAGGGGACTTACGGTTTCCTTGCTAAGATGCTAACGCGCCGCAGGTGACTTTTCGTGGAGAAACCAAACTCCATTACTAGTAGCACCTTGGACTTCTCTTTATGTTTTCTATCCAGTTGGTAAGTTGGTTTTGGGACTTGTGCCTAGACTCTGCCGGTTGTCGATGTGCAAAGTAAGCATGCTCATTTTCTCCTCTTTTGACATATGCAGGTCTGCGTGTCGTTCGCAAGCTTTTAGCTGAAGATCAACTGGCTACGAACATCAATTTATGAGCGGTTTACAGAGGTGAGACTTCGCGACTAGAATTACCGATTGGTTTCAGAAACGGTAACAACTCGTAGTGCACATTGAATAGAATACGCCTAGCGTATTGTTGCTAAGCATTGCTTCCTTGCGTTAATAACATTTTAGGTTTTACACCCTAGGACATTGTTCGTTCCCATGGCCATTACCCTTTAACGCACCTTGTACTTATCACCAACGCCATACATTCTTACCAAACAACCCTGTCTTCCTTTTTGATTGCAGGCTAGGCACTTTCATGGCTATCTGAGATCGGCTTCTGCTGACGTATTCAACCATGGCTTACATCGGGGTGGAGAACAAGACCAACCCTATGGCATAAAATCACCCTTGGTTATGTTAACAACCCAATAACTAGCTGGTTAATGTTACCAACTAAAATACCTGATAATAAAAACCGGGTTGGTTACTAGGCTGGTTAACAGGTTGGTTGCGTGGATGTAACTTGCCTTGTTACAGCGTTACTAGGGTTGGTTAACAACCCCGTGACGGGCTATTAACAGGCATGGTCTTAGAGCCTGACTAGCAAACCAACCCGAATCACCTAGAGGCATGTTGGCACACTGAGTTCGAGGCCTCCGCATCACATGGCAACAATCGCAATCATTAAAAAATCAGCGCATCGAATGCAAAATGCATTACATATCATAAAATATACCTCTCCTGTCAAACTAAAAACCGTCAGCACGTATGCAAGCCCCAGAGAGGTACTCCTCCTTTCAAACGCCCCTTCCTTCCCTTGCCCTTGCTGATGCTCCTGGTGCTGTTGTCGCCATCGTCCTTGCGGACGCCCTTGCCGTTGTCAGCCTTGTCCTCGGAATGGACTTCACGATGAGTCTGTAGGCCTTCTCGTCGCTCGCATACGGGCGCGAACGTTCAGATGCCCGCTGCCGTACGCATCAGTATCCGCCTGCTCCATGGCCTTCCTGTACGGCAGGCGTGCAAGCCTCGAGCGGCCCATTGGTGCAACCTAACCATGCTGCGGCCCCTGCTCCTTGTGGCAACTGCATTGGGGACGGGCCAATGGCATGGAGGTCATCTTATTGTTCAATACTAACAATTATTAGCATTTCACTGTCTGCTTTATGGCACCAGCTCATACAGCAAGATATGCGCATCAAGCAACATTTAATGACAGGTCTTAGCCCCGCCCTCTGTTTAACTTGGGGGGTTGAAGGCAGTGCGGGGGAAGGGACCGGGGGCTGGGTTGGGATTTCGTTTCCCGAGCTCTGCTATGGGGGCCAGCAGCGTTCCTTCCCAACCTCCCGGCCTGCCCTACCTGCTGACCGGCGTGCTGCTCCGCGCCGCGCCCAGCTGCGCCCCCGCGGAGGCCCGAGCCGAACGCGTGACGCCCATCTTCGTGGGGGCGGCATCGTATGTGATGCGGGTGCTTAACAGCTGTGCCAGATAGGGGACGGGAGGGGATGGAGAAGCGGGGGAGGGCCGGAGGGGATAAGGAAACCATGAATGCGGGCAAGATAAAGGAGGAGACAATGGAGGACAATCCCACCCCTACTCCTGGCGGGGGCTGGCGGCGGTCTGCATCGCTCCTGCAAGCCTTCTGCTCCTCCCCCCACCTGCGGCCCTTGCCCGACGGCGGGGTGTCACCGCCTTCGCTCACCTTTACCGGCTCTTCTTCATCACGTCTACGCCGCCGCTGCTACTGGCACCACCCATAATTGCGACAAGAGCCTTGTTTGCCTTGAGGGCATCAAGGCAATTGCTTTCCCATGGCATTGAGGTCAATTCACCGTAGTGGCGTCTGGGTGCAAATCTTCCGAGTTGCTCTCGGATGGGTTTCCCTTGGTTGGTTTCCTTTGTGAAAGCCATGGCACCCGTGAGAGTGTTGCCATCCTGATGCTGTCATTGTGCATGGCGCCAACCTTGCCTGAGCCTATGACCCTATAAGCTAGACTGTGCCAAGCCGTATGAGTCTAAAGTGTATCATCTCTTTGGGTAAATTTCGAGGACAACGGTGGGCAGGCAAAGGCTTTAAATTCCTACTTCGCAAATCCTCGCCCATGACTACTACTAAGCATGAGGCATATCAGTATCGTCAGTGGATTCTATAGAGTAACAACTTAGCAAGAAGTCAGCACTTGGTAACAGGTTCGCAAGGGGTGCATGATGATCTTGCTTATGTCGTACATACAAGCATACAAACTGCTCGATTGCTTGGTGCATTTCGTTTGTCTAACTCTAAGGTAATAAATAATTGGAATGACTTCATGTTACACTAATCCGTAAGCAATAATAAGCCAGTCGGTATGTCGTCGCCTTTTGAATACGCTTTGAATAGGAAGCCTGTGACATGACCGTAACATAGTGAGCTTTATGAATGTAAATACGTATCCTGGACGCTGCTGTCAGCGCCTGAACCGGTGACAACTACTTTTAAATAGTAGCTCATGTTCATCCAGCCTCGCCGACGAGGTCGCCAACAGTGCAATCTTGTTATTGAAAAGCTTGTTACTAAATGTGCTACTGACAGCTTAGTCGACGCTTGTTCGAATACCGGTAGCACATCGAGCAGCATCATCAAGTGGTCATGACGGGGAAGGGGAAAAATTAAATAAGTGAAACAACGAGTCCCAATCCCATATCCCGACTCATGCAGTGAGCGCATGGGGAAGGGGAAAAGGAATAGAACAGGAAGGCGGGGGCGGGAATCACAGGGAGAGGAGGGGGATAAAGGAGGATACGAAGAATGGGATGAGGGGCAGTACGAGGAAGGGGAGGGGGATGAGGCCGGATATGGTGTAGGGAGAGGGGGATGAGGGGGATACGACATACGAGGAAGGGGAGGTACGGCCCCTCTAATGCCACACATTGAGATTCCTGTGTACCCCAGTTATCATGTTCGCAAGCACGTTAAACTAGCTTGCATGAATGCAGTTGTTTTGTAAGTCAGCAGTCCCAGGGATTGCCGATGCAACGGTTGATAAAAGCCTTCACTATGTAACCGTGAGAGCAACATGACCCATGGTTCCTGTCATCATGCTAGCAAGGAAGCACACAATTTTATTAAACCGGGTGGGTAACTTATCATAAAGCCCAAAATCTTTAACTGTTTTATGCAGCGAAAGCACTAGGCTCCCGCTAATAGGAAGCGAGGATTCCGGTATAGGCTTATAGGTTCCTCGTACGACACCGTTACTTGGTTGGGTCCGGGGCACTGATAGGCAAGTAAGGGCACAGGTGTCAGGGGTATGGCACGCGTTAGGCATGCTAATAACACGTTTGCTGTTGAGTAACGTTCCACAGAATTACGGCGTCCTGGCAGGGGGCGGCTTTACCTACACACTGAGAACTGACTTTGCAGTAATCTAGGAAGTGAGCCATTAGGGACACAGAAGTCCGTAGTCCTTCCCTAAGACTCTCTTACCAAGCTAGTTACCAGCATGAAACTAACCCGGTAATACCCTAATAGATTACTAGGGCAATACCAGAGGTTGGTCAGTGCTACCAGGGTTAATACTAAGCATTACTAGCCTGTTAACAGTGGGCCCTATGCCATAGGGCAACACCAAGGGCAATGACCAAGATCAAGGAACAACG